GGTCTCCCCGCCGTTTCTGCCAGGAACGAATGTGACGCGACAGTTCTCATCTTGTGGTTTGCACGTTTGATTTAAGAAAATCTTTGTACTGTTGCTTTTGAAACATTTCACGCCACATGTCTCCGCTACTTTGGCAGGAATGGAGTTCAGGAATTTATGTCTATTTATTTTTCACTCTGTCTATCTGTATGTCTGTCTGTCCGCCCGTCCGTCTCCTCCACCTTTCCGTCGGTCTCTATGTGCGTAACCATTTTCTGTCTTTTAGCCTTTTAGCCGGCCTTCTATTCATTTCCTGTTTCCTACCTGCCAGTCCATCTGTCTGACTGCATGTCTTTTAGTCTGTCGTCCGCCCCTTGGCTGGCCTATTGCCGCCCCACCCCTCCTCTCCCCCTGTTTACTGCTTGTCTGTTATAATGCTTCTACCCACCACGAAGACCGAGGTTTAATATTCCATATCCTAATTATTTATAACATTTGCCTCAAACAACACATCGCTTGGTGCACTGTTTCTCCAGAGATGTTGAATGTAATTATACCCGTGCTTCAGCGCTGATCAAGTGATTTTTCTCCGTCACAATTCTATTTCATGTTAATTAAAAATGTTATATTTCTCCTTGGGCATATCTTCTGATGTAACGTACTTTGCACTCACTGATGATATTTATTGTAAAAGGCAAGCTTTCTGTTGTTAACAAGTTTCATTGTTCTGCAAGCAACAACTGGGAATTGAACCCAAGCCTTTAAAGTGGCTACCCGGTGCATTGTACACAATAAGTTGTCTGCCTTTTTTTTTTTTTTATAAGGTAAAAGTTTCATTGCAGGTTCTGTTTGATATAATATTTTAATAAGTTTTCATTGCAGATCTTGTTTTTTGTTTTTTTTGTTCCCAAGTGTCTTGTAGCGACTGTTTATGTTGATTTTCCCCTTAGTTTTTCCCATGTTAGCTTAACTGATTATGTTACATGACTTTACAGTTGAATTACTTTGTTCGTCTCGTTATTTAATAACGTTTTTATTCATTATGTCATATTTATTACTAAACATTCATCAGATTAATTTGGTCTTTCCCCTGATATAAAATGATTTTTTAGCCATTATCTGCGATTGAACGAGTGAGTAAAGCCTTTATTTTCACCTGAACGTCTGGTGTTCATCAGGTTGGTTTGACATCTAGAGCTTCACTCATGGGGAAACAATGCTACCTAAGGTGTCGATTTAACATTTTGGTAGGGAGGTGCGGTAGTGTAGCGGCTAGACGCTTGTCTGTCAGCTTCAGTGTTTTGGGTTCAAATCCGCATCGAGACAGATTTTTCACATTTTTGTACAAGTTTGACCTTGGCTACCGGGCTGTCTTGGCCTCAAATGCTTAGCAATGAACGTCCTGGCAAGTAAAGGTGGTCGTGGCGCTACATCTCCACTCATCGGATACCAGTGGCTCTTTACAAACATGAGCCGAGCATCATCTCCTGTTTGCGTTGCTGACGTTAAAAGGAGATTAATTCCACTTGTCACTGTCATGGTAGCCGGAGCGCTACAAGTAGTTGTAGCTGTCATTCAGGGTAGGCAGAAAGATTGGTGTGCTGCGGGGTTACATTTTATTGAGGGAAAATGGTAGACAGTCATAACGGATCAGTCTGGAAATCTTCTGGAAATTGAATGAGAAAGAAAACAAACGAGAAGAGGAGCTGGCCACCGCCATCTTTTCTGTTTTGGCCTAGAATTGTTGTGTGGTTTACAGCTAGGCTGCTATATATGCACCTTCTGACCCCACATATACCGTTTCAGCAAACCCTTTATTACTCACCTCTTACTATAGGCTTCTTTAGGGACAGCTGGTCTATACTCTTTTCACTAAAGATGGGGCACGAGAACCCACACATGTTTCTGCTTGTGACATTTTTTCTTTTCTACCTTCAAAAAATCTTCCTTGTCTGCAGCTGCAGTGACAGACGTCCTATCTTTAGCTGTAATTATTAGTTTGTTAAATTACTTCTTACACTTTGCTTTGGATGTATTCTTACTTGTTTGATCCTATGTTTCCCAGATGCTGACAGTTTTACACAGCACAAGACGTTACTAGCATAATGCTGGATCCTAATTACCAGATAAAATACAAGATAATATCGGCGATTGTCACCTGGCAAGACACAAGCAAACTATAACGACTACATCAACAGCAGTGGTTCTTAGGTGCAGTGAAATCTTCGAATACTCTTTAGCGGGTGACGTTTATCAACACGCATTAAATGTCTCTACGATAATTAACATCATCTCCAGCATTTAAACATTGATTACAGAAGCAACAGAGTGCAGGGAAACACGATGTCTACCAGACGTTAATGTTCATCCTCCCTAACATTTAGAACGAACTTTATGTAAGGCAAGGCAGGCAAAACTATTGCAGAAACGAATATCAAACTTCAAATTTTTAAGCGAACTCAACATTCCACTGTCTAAGAAAATATTTAAGTGTCTCGGAGGTCTTTCAAAGAAAACCATCATGTCTCAGTTCGACAAGAACATCGACAGTAAGGAGCCTTTCCTAAAGGAAAATAATGTCCCTGACAACAGCTGCTCCACCAGCAGCACAACCAACAGCACAGGACACAACAGCACCAACATAAGCAACGGACTCCTGTCCAGCACAAAAACGTCAAATAAGGATACAGACTACCAAGTTCTTCAAGCGACCATTGCTAAACTACGCATTTGGTTATTTGCCATTACCGCAGTGGCCATAGCCGGTTTTGTTATTTTAATCATTGTGGTGACGTGTCTGTACACACAGTTGAACTACGACCTGACCCATCACACCCATAAACCCAAGGTCGGGGAGCAGATGGCAGCCATACTAGAGCGGGAAGAGCTTTGTGTTCCATGTGAGGAGTTCCGGCTGGGTCCCAGCCCAGAAGAAGACAGCATGTTGAGACGTTTTAACGTTAGGGAAACCCCGACTGGAGCTAACTGTTGTGTGGATCAGCCTCTGCAGCTGTTGGAGCTTCTCAAACTGGTGAGTACATGTGTAGACTTTATGCACGTGTCTGTTTAACACACAGAAGTCAGCTTATTTTGAGAAAGAGAATCATAATGAAAATAATTCTACTGCAGTAAGTGAACGGCCCTCTAGTGTTGCATGTTTGTGTAGTATTATAATCATATTACACCTGGTACCGTTAATGTTAGAACTCCATACTGGCTGCTGAAGATGGGGAGGACTGCTTATGAGAAATCTCCCTATTCTTATCTCTTATTTTATGATATACGGTAGCACCATTTTTGCGCTTGTCAGCGAGTGGGTTATCACATGTTCACATTTAATGCTATGACCAATGGTATGTAAGACCAGGACACCCAGGTCCACTTAGCTTAACAATATTGATCAGGTAATCACTCTGTTGTTTCCCTAGTCTATGTGGGCCAGATAAAGACTCAGTTATTTAATTTGTTCAAGAGATACGTCATTCGTATCCTTAACTGGGTTTTTCTTAAGTAACCCTCTTTTTATTCTTTGTCTTCATAACCAATGTTGTTGTTTTTGTTTAATCAAACAATCATGTCGGCTGTATGGTAGCTTTAAAAAAAACCCACTGAAGATCATTAATGTGGTCTTTATTTTTGACTTTATGAATTTAGCCCCTTATACTCTCTCATCTTCAACATAAAAAAAAAAAAACAACTGTGGCATCTACTGAGATACATGAGATTCCAGACACATTTGGTACATCTAATGGAATATCGTTACCACGAACAACAAGCAGCAGATGCAGAGAGAAGCGGGACTGAGCTGCTATCTCTTTCTTTCATTTTTTAAGATTGTTGCTGAAAACATGAGATTACGATTAGCGATAAGGCCTATGACAACTTCGATCCACTCAAAAATGGAGACAAACCTATTCCAGAACTCATATATGCTGAGGACACACTTCTCCTGTCCAAATGTGTTCGGTTCCTTGAGGAATTGATTATGACAGTCAAAAATATAGTGAAGGAACAATCTGTTTATGAAACTGAAAATAATAATAATAATAATAATAATAATAATATTAATAGTAGTAGTAACAGCAGCAGCAGCAGTAATAGCAGTAATAGTAGTAGTAGTACTAATAATAAGGTCCACAATGAATACAGCACACTAACCACATAAAAATCTAATACGAATAGATCGAAACTGTCACATTTGATGAGTACTTCAGCTCAATAGGAAACAACACTGATGACGGCACACGAGTCAGCAATGCAAATACAAAACAGCACGAAGAAACTATGGCACAGCACCTGCAAGCGAGTTAAAGTAAACATTTTAGGATCACACATCATTAGCCAGGTAACTTAAGGATGTGTATCATGGACTTTGAATCATTCGTTGAATGTGGGGTGGGGGGGGGGGGGGGGGGGGAGAAATCGGAGCATGTTAACTTAAATGCTACAGACAAATTCTTAGAATACCATAGACCACAGAAAACACAACACCGACATCCTGCATGAGCTAAGCGTCGAGAACTTGCTGATAAACAGCATCCTGTCCTGAAAACTGGGCTAGTTTGGCCATGTTAAACTTCATGATGACCTGGATGCGGCGGTGATGGAGGTACACATCCCGGAAAACGAGGCAGAGGAAGACCTCTGCGAATGTGGAAAGGATATTAAAGATGGATTAGTTGTGAAATCACAGATGGCCGAGGAATTGGCTAGAGAAAGGGATACTTTTATGTGTGCCGTTGCGAGAGCTAAGTTCTGTTAATGACCTGGCGATAATGATGATGATATTCGTTCATCGTCACATGCCCAGCAGTTCCTAGAAAATGAATCCCAAACTCGTGAGAAAATGGCAGCTATAGCAGAGCGCGTTCCGTCTAAGTTCTTAGTGGCTCTAAGCCAACAAGACAGCATGTCGAAACACTTGCGATGTAGAATAGAAAAAAAGATGTCTCACTAAGAGGTAAGAGTAAGTAAAGTAAGTAAAAGAGCCTTCTCGTGACATGTGTGTGAGTGATCTATCAGTCATATCTCACTAGACTTTTTTTTGTAAACAGGTATTGGTCAACAACACGCCGTTGCTGCTTTTACTTCCCTTGATATATCAGGTTCCCCTGCGCATTAGCCAAGTTGGTTAAACCAGCTGCGCGGCGACCGTGTGACAAACTCCTTGTGGTCCGAGTTCACGCTCGTAGTAGGCAGAAAAGCCACATATTTCCCAGATTAACTGTATCTATCATGGAATCAAGGCAGAAGGGTTCCGATACACATAGTAACGAGCCAAAAGGTTTAAAACACATGGTTTCTATATATTTATATATCTGGTAGCCGGCTCAGACTAGGTCTAAGAAAAAGAAGAAGTGACATGTTTTGTTTGTCAGGTTAACAGACACCATCCTTTCTTCTCACCGGGGCCGTTTTCTTTAGAGGGAAAAAGTCCCAGTACTTACCATAAATTTTTTTTTTTTAAATGCCGCTACTCATCATCAAGTGTCTATTATAGCAGTGCTGACAAACATGATACCTAAAATGTTACCAGTGTTGCGTACACAATAAAATACTTTTCCTAAAACCTGGAAATACCAACAAATAAGCAGACACGCCACGGATTTGGTCAAAAACACAAAAACAGTAATTTCATGATGAAACCGAATATTGAACTCATGTAAACGTCCCCACCGATTTACCTCACTCCTACGGTTCAGCGATAACAAAGGCGTTATTTATCTACATTTAAAATTTTAACGCGTCATCCACAGACAGAACCTCTCGTTCTGTCACATCCATCAATAAAACAGTAAGAAACGCCTTCCCCTGCAAACAGATTTCCCATAAAACCTACCAACTCAGGGATGTGATTACTGATGGTATAATTGCTTCCTTGTTTGTCTACACATTTAACCAGTTTTCACAAGCTACAGTCTGTACAAAGCTGCGGGGTATATGCTGGCCAAGTGTTTATTTCCACATGTTATAATTCCAGCACAGCGCTAAATAATGCCGCAGTTACCATCATTCAATAACGTGGGTTATTCTCCGCGTGTCAAGAAAGGAATTATAGTTGTAAACATTGATAATTGTTGCCTTTAAGTCTCTTAGTCGTCTAGTCCGGGTCACTGGGTCAAAGTGAAGTATTCACTTTAGTTTTTATTTAGTTTTCAGGTTACAGTAACTTTCTGGAATGTTCCATGAACGACATCGATATTTCTTTTTCAGTCCGGTATCCTTCAGTGGAGCATAGGCCCTCAACCAGCTCATCCTATCCTTTGCAATTTCGTATATTTCACCCCGTGTCTTCCTCATCTTTTTCACTTCGTTTGTCTCATTCCTTTACCCCGCGCACTTGTATTGTCTGCCTCTGTTCTTTTGACTATGTAGAGTTTCCTCCATTGGTTTTTTTTTATTTTTTTATTTCAAGTGCAAGACATTCTAGTTGTGTTGCAATCATGTTTTCTCAATGTCATATCCAGAGCCATAGTCTTTTCTTCGTCCCTTGTTTCACTGGAAATTGTTTAATTCTGTCACAATGTAAAATCAAAATTATATAGTGAATTTGTTGATTTTTTGCTTCCATTGCTGGACACGTGACATAGTTAATTCTTCCTGTCGCTGATATTAGTCGGCAGCAATCTCTTCCGATGTCTGGTTTTATTGTGACTTAGATTCTGTCTGTAATAGATGACACAGTAACATGCCAAGTGTGAAGTCCCTTAGGCTACCAGCCCGTGTCAGCATTCCGTTTTTATCCCTCGAATGTGACCAGTATGTTTGTGTCCGGTTGTTCTGGCCTCTTTCAGCAACGATCATTGAAGGGTTTTTCTTGCAAGCCAGTTTGTTATGTAGCATTGTGGGTTTATACTGTCACAGTGGAGCAGTAAAATATAGGAAAGTTTGAGATTTATTTATCCTACTCTTTCTCTCTCTCTCTCTCTCTCTCTCTCTCTCTCTCTCTCTCTCTCTCTCTCTCTCTCTCTCCCTCCCTTCCCATTTCCCTCTTCTGTGTTTTTGTATGTGTGTATGCGTGTCAGTTGTAGCCCAATGTATATTATGTGTCAATTATATTACTTTGACGTCTCGTCTTACAACTTGCCAGTTAAGAAACACAGGAGCAGATGTAAATTCAGGGAGTCACCGGAGCGTAGCGTTTAGATGCTCGCCTGCGGATCGGAAGGTCGTGGGTTCGCTCCCTGAAGGAGCTAGACTTTTAAAAAAAATGATCTTGGCTCCTAGGTCGACCCAGTCTTAAGTGGGTACCGGGTGCAGTCCTTGGAAGTAAAAGCGGCCGATGTGATGCCATTGGGCCATTAGTCTATAAAATATAGGTCTAGCCCTATATGCCCAGTACGCCAGAAAAGCGTGGACAAGTTTCCTTTACGTTTAGTTGTAGATCCAGAACATTCTTTGCTGATAACTCAATTAAGCGACCCCGAAAGAAAGATAGCATCTGATGAACACGGAAAGTAGATTTCATTTTTTTTTTTTAAACGAAACTGGTGGACAATTGATGTGGACAGTGACTGAAATAGACCAACCATATTTGTTGATGAAATCAATTCAATAGTCTTTATTAGACGTTACTCGGTAACAAACAACTGTGGAAACTGTTTAATATTAAATGGGGTAAATTCAAGAAAAACAAAGACATAAGATGTGTGTCTGGACAACTGCCCGTGTCAACAGTGGACAAATAAGATGGGGATATAGTGGGCACATCATGCGGAGAAACGAATATACAAATCCTCAAAAAGGCAATGAAATGGGAAACAGATTGCCTGAGGGAGGCCAAAGATGCTGGACGTTTTTATTTCTTCTCCTTCTTCTTTTTTCTTCTTCTTCTTCTTCCGTTACAGACCATGTTGTGTAGCGTTGGTCATCGTGTTTTCGACAGCCTTCTGTCTCCTGCCCTACTAATCATTTCATGTCATGGTGCAACACTTTCCCATACCTGACTCTTCCTATCTCCAGCTCTCATATTGTTACCATGTACTCTATTGATATTTCTGATGATATGCTTAGAGAATGTTTAGACTAGTA